TATAAGCTATTAATGAATATATTTAAAAAAATTCCAAAAAAAAGGTATGCAATAAATGTTTTCAAAAAATTTGATTACTATTTTTAGTAAATGGTAATTCTTATTATATATATGTATAGATTCATTATTTTAGGGGATTGTATTTGATAAATCTAAATTTGTATAATTCACGTTTTTTTTTATATATTTTGCTTATTAAATTAGAAATATATTTTTATTATAAAATAATAGCCGACATTCAAAACAATAGTATTAGCCGATTTGATGTTAAAAAAGTTTCTGATTTTTTGAGCAATCAAAACATAACTGCTAGATTTAGTGGTTAAAAAAATTCAAAATAAATAATATATATTTTTTTTTTTATATTTCGATTATTAAATAAGTTGTAATTTATTTTTATTAAAAAATAAAAATCCGACATCTAAAATAACTAGATTAGTCAATTTGATGTTAAAAAAGTTTTTCATTTTTTGAGCAATCAAAACATAACTGGCAGATGTAATGGTTAGAAAAATAAAATAAAAAAAATATTTTTTTTTATATTTTTTTCTATGAAATTAGTCGTATGTTAGTTTTATTAAAAACTAAAGCCGATATTTAAATCAATTGTATTAGTCGATTTGATGTTAAAAAAGTTTGCGATTTTTCAAAATACTAAAGTTATTTTTTATTATTAAATTAGCCATAAATTCTTTCTTAAAAAATAAAAAAATAAAAATAAAAAACTACAATTGTGATACATGATTTTCCTTTAAAAAAAATTTTGTTGATTTTGTGGAAGTTTAAAAGTAACAACCCCAATCTTATCCATAAAAAATAACAAACAACACTTTTTTAGGCCAACATTAATGAGGGCCGTTTGGAAGTTAAAAAAAAAAAAAAAAAACTTTCTATTAATAGCATGTAATTAATGTTGTCTGTATTTGACCAAAATTTGACTTGCCATTTTTTAAAAATGGTAATTCTTTTTATATATATATAGATGTCTGTCAAGTAGTCGGTGAGGCATCATCTTTTTTTTTTGGTACACATGATGACTTTAGGTACTCACTGGGGATAATGGAAAGAACAGATTGTGTCTTCTTTCCATATGTCCAGAGTCCAGACTTAGCATTGTTTTCTGCTTCGTACAGCACCAAGTATCTGTTCATTCTTGTTTAGTACAGTTCATTCATCTGGTCCCTTTAGTAGTTTGCACCAGACATGAGTTTACTTCTTGTGCTAGTTTGTGATGTGAACTTCCATATAGACTACAGTCATCTTCCCAAATCCCCATTCAGCAATGTGTTTTTACGGCAGGTTGCTTTTCTTCAGTTTTTTGGACGACGGACCAATTTCGCTCCAGTTTCTCCACTTGAGTTGTTTACTTTACAGAAGATATATTCCGTATTTTCTTGTATGTTCAGGGATACTGCTGGACAAGAAAGATTTAGGAGTCTTATTCCAAGCTATATAAGGGACTCTTCTGTTGCAGTCATCGTATTTGATGTCGCAAGTATTACATTTTCTATTCTTAAGTTCTTTATATATTTCCAGTTTACTTAATTTTTATTTGGACTTTCTGTGTGCTCTCTAACTTGACTGGCATGATATAATTTAGTTCCTTTTGCATAAAACTTTACTGATTATTAGGTAGACAATCTTTTCTCAACACATCAAAATGGATTGAGGAGGTCCGCAATGAGAGAGGAAGTGATGTTATCATTGTGCTAGTTGGAAACAAAACCGATCTGGTGGATAAGAGGTATGTTTTTTGTCTAATTTTATCTTTCTGTTTATTTGTGGTTTTCCTGGTCTTTGGTCGTGGAGCAGAGGAAATCTATTTGAAGAATTCGTCCAGTTATACTGGTTACAAGAACATGAGAATTGTTATCATAAAATCAGAACATTGTTTTTCACCAGAATGTTGCAGGGCATTTTTCTTCAGGTGTAGACAAATAGTTCTTTTACTTAGCTATAGATTTAACCTGTTTCAAAAGGATGTAAAGCTTGTTGGAAGAACCGGTTGAATTTTGTTTACAATAGCAATAAGTTACAGTAATCCCAAGGCTGCACAATGTAAAAGCACTAGCCGATTGGCAGATAAGTTTAGACAAGTAAAAGTAGGTAGGGTAGCCAAGTCTAGAGTTTATTTCTGTTACTGCTTAAGATGAAAATTATCAAGATCCGTATAATAATTTTACAGTGGTTATAACTGCACAGTATATCATTATTCTGAGTTCTGAGCAGCACGAACAATTCTTGATGTTGTGTTGCCTGGTCCAGATCAAGAAGTCTTTTAAATTGCGCGTATATGATACGAATTGGGAGATTATTTATTTGTAAGATGATTATTGCCTCATGTAACCATCACTTTTTTTTTTTTTTTTTTTTTTTTTTTTTTTTTTTTTTTTTTTTTATCCAGGCAAGTTTCTATAGAAGAAGGAGAGGCCAAAGCACATGACCTTAATGTCATGTTCATTGAAACTAGTGCCAAGGCTGGCTTCAATATTAAGGTAGCAAAATACAACCATTTATCCTCTTGTATTTTGTTTGTGAAAATATTTACTTCCCAACTTCTGAAATCACTTAAATTTGAAATGGATGATAAAATATAGTACATTTTTAATGTTATCTTAATGCCACTTGTGTCTGGTTTTCCCCGGGATTTTAGTATCCTTGATCAAAACTATCACTTTATATATCCCCTTAACAATTAAAAGCTGGTATTGTAAAGACTTTTTAATATTTTAGAAATTCTGGTGTATTTAACTTACGGAGGAGTATTTATTTAGAATTTCTAAAGACTTTTTAAGATTTTGGATTCAGGTTTATTTAACTTATAGACTTTTTAAAGATTTTATAAATCTTGAACTATTGAATTGTAATTTTAAAAAGTCATGAGGTATTTACTATACTTAACACTAAGATTTATTAAGACTTTTAAAGTTTTCACTAAAATCAACAAAATCTTAAAAGTCATGAATTTTAATAAGTCTTAAAATGTCACTCAAAATCTGAAATGATTCTCCTTAGGGTATGTTTGGTAAGCCAAATAAGCTAGCTTTAGCTTATTTGGTTAGCTTATAAGCTCCTTGTTTAAAATAAGCCTCGTTTGGTAGGACGAGCTTTTTTAAAAAGCTCGAGCTTATTTCATAAGCTACTTTAGGTAGCTTTTCAAATAAGCTAGTTGAATTTTTTTATTTCAGCTAGCTTATCAGCTAATTTACCAAACACCTTTTATCATATAAGCTAGCTTTTCAGCTATAAGTCATAAGCTATAAGCTATAAGCTAAAAAAATTACTTATAAGCTCTAAGCTAGCTTATCAGCTATCAGCTAGCTTATCAGCTAATTTTACCAAACATAGCCTTAGACTTTTTAAGACTTGTAAGAGTCTTGAGGTGTTCGATTGATATTTTAAAAATCTTAAAAAGTCACTATGTATTTAACTTATTTAAATTGAAATTTGTTAAGACATTTCAAAATTTCAAACACAAATTACATATATCAAATTCCTTAACCAAATCCCAGCTTTAAACCTAAAGGTGGGATTTTAAAAAAATCGCCAAGATTTTTTTAGAATGTCACCATAATCAACGAATTTTAAAAAAGTCTTGGACTTTTTAAAAAAGTCTTAAAATGTCACTTAAAATCTCAAATGCTTACAATACACTCTCCTTAAAGTTTAAAAATTACAAAAATGACCCTTGAGGTTTGAAACCCATCTTACATATCCTTTTCTCATATGTGAGTTGACACGGCATGATTTATCTATTATCCCAAACTATTAGAAATAAAACCCAACTTTTCGTCCAATTATTTTTACCATCGGAAAACAGAGGAATTTAAAATAGCACGTGGAAGACGAAAATTGTAATAATACTCGATAATGTCAACAAAATCTAAAACGGGTGCCACCACAAAAGCGACATAAATAGTTTCTAGCATTGGTAAAAATTCTTATGCTGGTTGTTACTTATTTCAGGCTTTATTCAGAAAAATTGCTGCAGCATTGCCTGGAATGGAAGCAATATCATCCACTAAGCAAGAGGATATGGTCGATGTCAACCTCAAAACCGGCAGCACAAACGCACCTCATTCGCAGCAGTCGGGAGGGTGCGCCTGCTGATATACTGCAACATTAACAGAAAAAAAAAATATCATTTTGTGTGTTTGGATGTTTCGAGTAGATCATTAAAGCATCTGTAAAGTTCGTGTACCAAAAAAAAAAAAAAAAGAAAAAATGATGAATTTTGGGGTGTGAATGTGTGATTTTCTTAGTTCTAAGTTATGTTTGTGAATGTATATCTTGTATCAGTTTTATATGTGACATATTGGCGTTTGGGACTATAGGTAGTTTTCTTAGTTGGGCATGACGAATAATGTGTTCGTGATTTATGATTTACTATTGTGTTTTCATTTTATTTATTTGATTTTAATATCATAATAATGCAAGCGTTATATTTATTATTTGAGGAACTATATCATACAATTTATTTCATATGTTCTAAATTATAAGAACTAGTAGTTTAATCATTTGTATAGATACAAACGTAAATAAAATATTATAACTTCATATCCTATTTTATAAATTTGGTCATATTAAGTTATATTATTATTATGATTAAATTTTAAGGGATTTTCTATCTCAATAAAATCAACTAGCCATTAAAAAATCGCTCGATGAGAGTATAATAAATTAATAATATTAGTTTTAAAATAAATAAACTTAAGAAAAAGTTTTGCTCTATAATTTATGTTAAGTGTATAAGTTCCATAAAATTTGAGTGTGAATTTATAATTAATTAATATTAACAATAACTATTAGATGGTAAATAATTTTAAAAAGTATTATACGTTAATTAACGCCAAATGCAATGACCACCTTCCATAGTAACATAACATAATAAAGAAAAAGCATAAAACTGCCTCAACTTTTAGCTTACATTTATATGTACTAGTATTCGATAATGTTCGCATACACTCAAACACAATTTAGTATACAATGTTCGCATACACTCAAACACAATTTAATAAGTTATACGAGTGTATATAATAGTTATAATCATAAGGTACATAATGACCATATCGCATTTTATAAATTTTATTATTAGTAAAAATGAACGATATAAATATAAACAATTCAACTTACATATAAATCGTTATATTGATGACTTTGTATATTGAGTGATTATGATCATTTAATTAAATAAAAAAATATTAAAATTATTATTACAACGATTGTGTACGAAATTTTAAGGGGTTTGGTTATGCAACAAAAAAAAAAATAAAAAACTAATTTTAATAAAATATTTGCTTAATGAGTTGAAGAAAAAAAGAAGAAAAAATATTAATAATTTAAAAAAGTTTTGGACTCGAATTTGTTATAGGTATATAGTTTTGTTAGAATTTGGGAAAAATATATTCTGTATTATTCAAAAGACATGTACACATATATATAGGAACATAATGAGGCTAAACCTAACCATACAAGATATAGATATATACAACTAATATATGCTAACCATATATACAATATATTCTAACACCCCCCCTCAAACTCAAGGTGGTATAGTAGATATCAACTTGAGTTTGCAAAGAAGTAAGCAAAAGCGACCCGGAAGGAGAGACTTTGTGAAGACATCTGCTATCTGATCTGAAGAAGAGACTGAAACAAGGCGCACAGTCCCATGTGTAACATGATGGCGAATGAAGTGACAATCGATCTCAATATGTTTCGTGCGCTCGTGAAACGTATCGTTATGAGACATCTTTATAGCACTCTGACTATCACAATGGAGATCAGTGGAGGATGACTGAGGCGCACCAAGATCAGCAAGTAGGCGACGCAACCATAATAGCTCTGCGGTGGAGTCAGCAAGAGCACGATACTCAGACTCGACACTCGAACGGGAAACTGAGGTTTGCTTCTTACTGCGCCAAGAGACAAGTGAATCACCTAAAAAGAAGCAATACCCAGTAGTGGAGCGACGATCAGTAGGATCTCCAGCCCAATCTGCATCAGAGTAACCGCTAAGGGACAATGAAGAACTGGCCGAGAAATGTAAACCATGCAATAGAGTGCCCTTCACATAGCGAAGGATGTGCAACACAGCAGAGTGATGAGAGGTTCTCGGAGCAGTCATAAACTGACTCACAATATGAACAGCATGAGCTATATCAGGCCGAGTGACAGTCAAATAGATCAAACTTCCAACGAGCTGACGATATAATGTAGGATCCTCAAGAAGAGAGCCATCCAGTGGAGTAAGACGAACATCATAATCAAGAGGTGTGGAAGCTGTCTGACAATCAGTGAGACCTGCCCGAGCAAGAAGATCAGAGGCATACTTGGCTTGAGACAAATATAATCCATCAGAGGAATCAGAAATCTCAAGACCTAAAAAGTAGCGAAGACGGCCCAAACTCTTCATCTCAAAATGCTGTCGAAGATAATTCTGTAAATCAGAAATACCCGAGACATCGTCTCCCGTGAGGATCATATCATCAACATAGAGCAACAGAATAATGATCCCAGATGAAGAGCGCCGAAGAAATAGGGCAGAATCGTGATCGCTCGTAGTGAAACCAAACTGAAACAATGCCGAACTGAACGTGGCATACCAGGCACGGGGTGCTTGTTTCAAACCATACAAAGCTCGGCGCAATCGACAAACCTTCTCGGATGACAAGAAACCAGGAGGAGGAGTCATGTAAACCTCCTCAGATAAAGCACCGTGCAAGAAGGCATTCTTGACATCTAACTGTAAAAGAGACCATCGACGAACAGTTGCAACGGCGAGTAAGCACCGTACTGTAGTAAGACGAGCAACCGGTGCAAATGTCTCTTCATAATCTATGCCATACTCCTGTGAGTACCCTTTAGCCACCAGACGGGCTTTGTGGCGCTCAATAGACCCGTCTGAGTTTGTTTTGATCTTATAAACCCATTTGCATCCGATGGGTTTCTTGCCAGCATGTAGATCAACCAAATCCCAAGTATGAGTCTTCACTAAGGTCTGCAATTCCTCAGCCTTAATGTTGCATTTTCCTCTTCTGGTGTTCAGGTTCGGGATTCGCAGACGGGACAACTTCTCGGGACGGGTCGCAAGACGGGCCGGTTATTTGAGCTTGAGTCGCTTCATGTCCCTCGTTCTTCTTCTTTTTCTGCTGCTGTCACCACAAATTCCAGTTTCCAGTGGCATCTTCGTCTTGGGCATGCGTCTTCCAATAAAGTTCGTTCATTATATAATAAAGGTCTTTTAGGTCCAGGTCATTTTGAGCCTTTTAGTTGTCTTCATTGTAAACTTGGGAAACAATCTGCTCTTTCTTTTTCTGAGAATTTGTCAACAGTTGATAAACCTTTTGGTTTGGTACATTCTGATATTTGGGGTCCTTCTCCTGTTACTTCTCTGAATGGTTTTTGATATTTTGTTATTTTTGTTGATGATTTCTCTCGTTTTACTTGGATCTACTTTCTCAAAAATCGTTCTGAGTTGCCCGACATATATATTCAATATGCTCGAATGATTCACACACAGTTCTCTTGTCCTATTAAAGTCTTGCGTACTGATAATGCTCTTGAGTACAATGATTCTACCTTTCTGAAATTTCTTTCTGATCAGGGCACCTTAGTCCAGCGTTCATGTCCTTATACTTCCCAGCAAAATGGACGAGCTGAACGTAAGCATCGTCATATTCTTGATAGTGTTCGTGCTTTTATTCTTTCTGCTCAGTGTCCTGATCGTTTTTGGGGTGAGGCAGCCTTGACTGCCGTTTATGCTATTAATCGCTTACCCTCATCGGTTATTGGAGATGTGAGTCCTTTTGAGAGGTTATACAGTCAGTCGCCTGATTATACTCAGTTACGTCCTTTTGGTTGTGTTTGTTTTGTTCTTCTTCCGTCCCATGAGCGTACCAAATTAGAGCCTCGAGCTCGTCTGTGCTGTTTTTTGGGTTATGGGGTAGAACACAAAGGATTTAGGTGTTGGGATCCGATTTTAGAATTTGGGAAAAATATATTCTGTATTATTCAAAAGACATGTACACATATATATAGGAACATAATGAGGCTAAACCTAACCATACAAGATATAGATATATACAACTAATATATGCTAACCATATATACAATATATTCTAACAAGTTTCATATATAAGTTAGAGCGAGTTTATTAATCAGTAGTAGTTATTATGTAATAAAATAAATAAATCACATAATTTCTTTCTAAAATTAGCTGAAAATTGAGCAGAAAGAAAAGGTTTTGCATTAAATAATTTGCCTACAATTATATACATATAGATATAGATATTGTAGATTACAAATTTGTGAGAAACGGGCGTAACCGTAAGATTGGTGGAGTCTTCATATTTTTTGAATAAAAATTGCATATTATTGTTATGAAATGTCATACTTTTATATATGTTAATTGTTAGCATCTGCTAAAAAAATATTGTTGCCTAACTGTTAGACATATCTAAGTTAATCAAAATTAATACTCCCTCCGTTTTAAAATGTTTGTCGTTTTGACTTTTTTGATTCATTCATTTTGCTATGTATCTAGACAATGATAAACATTTTAAAACGGAGGGAGTATATAAAATCCTCATAATAGAATTTGAGGGCAAGATTAGGTATTGATTTTTGTTAGTTGTTTATTGTTCTGAATACCAAACTGTCAAAATCATTATTGAGTAGGACATAAGTTTGATTTTTTGGTCGAGTGTGTATCATAAGAAACAATTCTCATAACAACAAAAGTTGTCAATTTTTAACCAATTGGACATTTTTTTGTTTTTTTCTTCTCAAGGCTTTTTCTCAGAGAATCCTTTCTCTTGCACTTGTGTATGAGTTGAATAATCATAATGTACGAGTCCAATAATGTTAATTTTCCATTGAAGAATACATGTTTGAAAATTCAAATTCAAGTTCAAAAGACAGAAATAATAGGGGAAAGTCAATATTAGTGTTTCCAATGATATTGGTATCTCCTAAACTTGATCTTGACTTCCATTAATGTTGTAAATTCAATGGGTCAATTGAGATATCCCAAATAGGTCTGTAACCGAGCCGAGCCGAGCTCGAGCTTCAGCCCTCGGCTCGTTAAATAGACAAACTCGAAATCGAGCTCGAGTTTGGCTCGTTCAGACATCGAGCTCGAACCTTAACTAGTTGATCTCGAGCTTTGACGACCCAAACTATAAAAAAATTATACAACAATTCGTTTTGTTTTTCTAGCCTTATCGAGCCGAACCCTGCTCGGCTCGTTGAAGCATCGAACTCGAGCCTTAACGAGCTCAGCCGAGCCGAATCAGACTTGTTTAATTTAACAACACTTATCCCAAACTAAGTGTCGGACCTAATATGATTGAAGATAGGTTTTTTGGCGGACTTGAAAAACAAATATAAACGTTGAAACCTACTCCTTCCTATTTTTTTTAAATGTCATTCTAGCATTTTCAACTATTTGCCAAATAAATGTCGTTTTGGATCTTTTGTACATATTTTTCCATTATTACCCTCATTTAGTCAATAATCTTTTCATATTCACTCTTCACTTTTTCTCGAAACATTCATCTCTATCTTCATTAAATAAGATTATTAATGATCCTACTGATGCCTCTCTTCCTGGACCGGCACAAAAAAACTATTCTTAATTAGTGTGCAATTTCTCAAAACGACATATATTAAAAATATGAGGTATAGTAATTTATATGGATTTTGTAATACTATAACTTATATATACTATAAGAATTGCAATTCAAATAAATAAATAAATAAATAAAACGATACATCCAATAAAAACTTTCAAGCATCATCATACATTTTACCCACCACACTAACTCACCAATCATAAAAAACAATTACACATCACCAAACTCCAAACACTCATAAAACTTGCAGTTCACAACTTCACATGGGGATCAAATGCTTCACCCACTATATTTGTAGTTTTTTTGAGCCCACCTAAAAAAAGAAAAAA